GCATGCAGTCTGAGATATGTTTTATTGTTGCGCAATGCATGCAGTCTGAGATATGTTTTTTGTTGTGCAATGCATGCAGTCAGAGATATGTTACGAAAGCCAGCCTTCATAGAAGGCGCTAGCGGAGTTGTGTTTGGCGAACGAAGTGAGTAGTTAGGGGGTCTGCGGGGGGTGGCCCGCAAAAGGTACACGTAAACTCGGCACATGCTGGGGGAGGAGGGTTCGTCGAGGGAAGGGTTTTGGAGGCTGTGTTGGAGGTGATTTTTGAGGGGTGGTGATGCAAGAAATGCAATTTGCATCATTTGCATCATCTGAATGGAAAGGTATAGAGACGCTATAGTGCAGCTAGCAGGTATAGTACTTCAAGTTCCCTTTCCGTCAACCGCTCGATAACCTCTACACACGCACAGCAATCCACAGCTTTGAAGCCTCATTCTCGCGATACCTGGGAACAGAATTGTAGCTACCGTGGGTCCGTATGAATGCTATGTTGCTATACCTCTTATACACCTATACCAGTTCAAAGCACGAATGAGACTTCATAGCTGTGGTTTGCTGTGCATGTGTGGCTCGAGAAAGATATACGTAAACTCTGGAAGGTGATGCTTTGATGCTTTTGGAGTGGGTGGTGACCCTTCAATAGGAACTCGAGTCGAACAGCTCAAATCCAGAAGATTCTGAAAACGGCCTGGCTCCCTATATGAACCCTGGGACGACTGGGGAGCGAGGATGTGGCGCTTCGCAGACCTTCATTTTCAAGGTGGCCTGAACAGAGTGCTTTAGGGCAGCAAACCCTGGTCTCAGGCCACCTTGAATTTAGCTTGAAAACCACAGCTTTGAAGCCTCATGCGCGCGATACCTGGGAACAGAATTGTAGCTACCCTGGGTCCGTATAAATGCTATGTTGCTATACCTCTTACACACCTATACAAGTTCAAAGCACGAATGAGACTTCAAAGCTGTGGTTTGCTGTGCATGTGTGGCTCGAGAAAGATTTACGTAAACTCTGGGGGGTGATGCTTTGATGCTTTTGGAGCGGGTGGTGACGCACTCGCCAACTATACCCTTCAATAGGAACTCGAACACCTCAAATCCAGAAGATTCTGAAAATGGCCTGGCTCCCCACAATGTGCATCCTTTGCTCTCGCTTCGCAGACCTTCATTTTTAAGGTGGCCTGAACAGAGTGTTTTAGGGCAGCAAACCCTGATCTCAGGCCACTTTGAATTTAGCTTGAAAAACTGTCTGTTTTAACAAAAGCCTTGTCACAGAGACCCCTCACTACCCTTCTTCGCATATTTTCATTTTTGAGGTGGCCTGAACATATAGTTTCGGCAGCGAGCCTCTGGTCCCAGGCCACCTCGAATTTTGGTGCATTGTTTGGCTTTTGCTTCATCTGAATGTGGATGGGAATTATCTATGTGTGAAGTCGGTCGGGGGTCGGGGGGGGGGTGGCCCGAGAAAGGTATACGTAAACTCTTGGAGAAAGATATACGTAAACTCTGGGGGGTGATGCTTTGATGCTTTTTGGAGCGGGTGGTGACGTACTCGCCAACTATACCCTTCAATAGGAACTCGAACAGCTCAAATCCAGAAGATTCTGAAAATGGCCTGGCTCCCTATATGAACCCTGGGAAGACTGGGAAGCGAAGAGGTGGAAACAGCAGGGAGGTCTTGAACTTTTAAGTAAACAAAAGGCCACATTCAAGCGGCAGAAGGACAATGTGCATCCTCTGCTCTCGCTTCGCAGACCTTCATTTTTAAGGTGGCCTGAACAGAGTGTTTTAGGGCAGCAAACCCTGGCCTCAGGCCACCTTGAATTTAGCTTGAAAAACTGTCTGTTTTAACAAAAGCCTTGTCACAGAGACACCTCAGGACCCTTGCTTCGCATATCTTCATTTCTGAGGTGGCCTGAACATATAGTTCCGGGCAGCGAGCGTCTGGTCCCAGGCCACCTCAAATTTTGGTGCATTGTTTGGCTTTTGCTTCATCTGAATGTGGATGGGAATTATCTATGTGTGAAGTCGGTCGGGGGTCGGGGGGGTGGCCCGAGAAAGGTATACGTAAACTCTTGGAGGTGATGTTTTAGTGATTTTGGAGCGGGTGGTGATGCAAGAGTGCATCTTTTGCTTTTGCATGGTTACCTATGTGTGGGCAGAACAAGACATGAAGCAGATTTGACACGCGGCCACAAGCGGCTGCGCGAGCTCATTTGATTGCTTCGACGCGCAGTTGTCGAGACAGGGAAGCGCTGGCTTTCGTTTTGCAGCTTCTCAGGTTTTATTGTTGCGCAATGCATGCAGTCTGAGATATGTTTTACTGTTGTGCAATGCAAGGAAGACCTGGAGGCTGGGATGCAAAAAAACGTCGAAAAAAACAAAATCGCAAGAAAAACACGGCCCACCGGGGGTCGTGGTCCACCTACATACAAGTAGCTACTACTTAGGATGCAGGATAGCTCGCACCAATGATTTGGCTCCTAGATTTTGAGGGAAACGTTTGGATGTGTTGCTCTTTGGTCTTGGCCCCCCTCACACAATAATTCTAGCTCGCTTGTGAGGCGCTTGATGCCCCCGAATGTGTCCACGAATGTGAATCACCCAGTAAACAAACCTCAAAAGAGACAACTTCCGGTTGGAGGCCATCGCTCTTAGGTTGGAGGCCATCGCGGTCGTAGGTTGGAGGCCAAAAAGTGGCCATCGCCTTTAGAAACAAAGCAAAAGAAGAAGAAAAGGAAGAAAGTTTCTATACAGCGATGTTCATAAATAGTTTCTTGCTCCGTTCGTAGGTTGCGGCCAGTTTCGCCCCGGACTCGTGTCGCGTGCTTCTCGTCCCGACTCGTGGTCACGGCAGGAGATGGCGTCGCCCGACTCGGTGAGTCCGGAGCGCCCAGGGGTGGAGACCACGGGGGTCGGAGTTTTCGGGCGATGAAGGCGATGTGAGTGTGGGGGGGGCAGCTGAATGAATGTGGGCAGCTGGAGAAGGGAGTTGTTTTGGGAGATTGTTGAAGGTGACTTATGCCTTTGGATGAGGTTTCGAGAGGGTTTTGTGGAGAGGATTTGGATCAATCACACATCGCCTTGTCACATGAGGTGAAGGGCATATCTCCGGGCCCTCCGCGAGTCAATGCAAAGGTTCATCCTATGAAGCTGTCCTGATCTTGGTTCAAACGATTAAAACAAGCACTGCCTCGAAGAAAGGTTGGATTTTGTCAGTTCTCTCTCTACTTGTTCCATTGTTTCTTCTCGCCCAATCCGTGAAATTCGCAGAGCGCAGCAGCGCAGCGGCCCGCTCCAGGTACGGCCGATGCCGACACAGAGCCCACACAGGCGGGTTCCCCATTGGCGGGGCAAGCCAATCATTTCCTAAAACGGGAGGTCCTGTTTTTCGTGTTTTTTGTTTTTCATCAACGGATAGACCAGAATGAAGAAGGTGGATGAAGATAAACCCTGAGTGATGGACCTGCGGTGGTGATAAACCCATGAACTATTTCAGTCTTGGGAAGATTTGGAAGTGATTCACCATCAATTTCTGCTCAGTGAAGATCTGTAAGATGGGTAAGATGGCTGCCATGGCTTCCATGAAGCGCTCGTCGAGTGGGCCAGCAACTTCCCAAGTTTGCCGACACCGTCGGGAGACGGCGTCCTGGAGGGGTTCAGCTGTCTGAAGGCTGTGTTCCACAGCCCTCCACCGTTCAAACCAGAGTTGACGGCGGTGATGGTGCATGGATGGACTCGAATAGCGACGGCCTCCAACCTAGAAGCGATGCCTCCAACCTGATAGCGATGGCCTCCACCCTAATAGCCATAGACAGACTGCCCCAAACATGCACTGGGAAGAGCCAAACTTCGAGAGAATCCTCTCCGTTGCAGGTGCGAGCCTGGCAGCCACTCCAAAAAAGCCCACACCTTCCGGTTACCTACCGGTCTTATGACGCCAGCAGCCCCGTTCGTAGCGGTCCTTGGTAGGTCTCACCGAGCGTCCGACACTTCCAGGCCCTCCCCTTGACGCCCAAGCCCTATGGCGAACGGGTGGACGGGCTGCCCGAGGCGGCACCGACAACCGGCCTGGGATCCGCTGGAACGGATGGTCGTGGGTGTGACACTGCCAGGACGGACTGCCGCCCCAGAAAGACCTCCAAAACGGACTGCCCCCTGGCCGTTTCTGGGTAAATATACCAGTCCCAGACAGGTCGTGTTTGGGTGTTGGTTCTACCGGGTCGACATGTCACCCTTGATCTGTCAGTCGTGATGTTTCAGTTTTTCGGGAGAGAGGTTTTGCACTTGCAACATTGCAAATGTTAGTTTTGTTTTATGAATCAAAGAGTCTACATGATCTACATTACTGACTCATAGCTTCCACCAACACTGGCTGACTGCACAGGGTTTCTTCGGAATTCCGTGTGATGCGCTTTTGACCCGGTCGAACGCGCCTCGTTTTGGTCCTCGTTCGGTATGACCACTCGGAACTCTCCTCAGTCGGTGACGGAGATGAGGGTGAGTGAGGGTAGCAACCACTGCGCAGGGAAGAGAAGTGATTCAGTCCAGTCTGTTTGAGAGATAGAGGACCTAAGTACACGGTGATGTGTCTGAAACAAGGGGTGTTAAAGGCTTGGATAGAAAGCATTGCTCCCAACAGCTAAATGATTATGGAAATGGAAATGGGTTCTTGCTTGTGCACGGTGCCAGTCCACGAAGAAAACCTTTTTGCAGCGGAAGAATTCGCCAAAATTCGCACCAGGACTGGGGAACGGGTGTTGTTCCGGAGTGACACTGCCTCTTGCTTAAGCATGCCTGCTTTGCAGATGAAGAAGCACTCATCTGAAGGGGCCCGGATTCACTTCCGACAGAAAACCCGAACACATGTAATCAGAAGTGAAAAGCATTGCACCATTGTTCTTGATTGTTGTGAACCATCTCAGTTTTCAGAGAGAACCCATACCACCTGACCCCTTCAGGGAAGGGGGAAGCTCTTAGGTTGGAGGCCATCGCTCTCAGGCCGTGGCTCTTAGGTTGGAGGCCATTGCTTCTAGGTTTATGAAAGTATATGTTTAATGTTCTTTGTTCTTGTTCCTAGTAGCTTCTTGTTCCTTATATTATATCGTAAGGCCAGGAGCGCCCCATTCGGTTCGCGTCCTTGTTCCGTTCGTAGGTTGGAGCGTCCACGGTCCCCGCCGCGCCTCACGCCAGGTGCCCAACTTCCCCTTCACGCCTGTGCCGGTGGCGGGCTGCAGCCCGCCGGCCATCTCCATCGCGGAGTCTTTGGGTGGGGAGCACCCAAAGGGACTGTGGATTCACGTGGATTCACTGGGGACTGGGCGGTGGAGGGGTGCGGAAGGCCCCTAGCCCAAAAGATGTTGTTGGATCTGAGAAATCGTGCTTTGCTGGGAGGAAGTGGTTCGTTTCTTTGATGTTTTATGTGTTTTCGGCTTGAAACGAAAAGTAAAGGGCCGAGATCGACGGCCAAGAATGGCTTGAGATCTGTTTGATCGAGTGGGTGGGACCCCAATGCGGCTGGGAAGCGACCTCAATCGTCCGCTTTTGTGGGGTGGAGGACGCTACTAGGGTCTCCTGGCATCGCTACTAGGAACGAAAGGGTAGCTGGTAACCTCTTGAAAGCTGAAGCATTCGTGAAAGTACTTGGACATCACTTGAGGACCGTCCCATCCAGCTGATTTGGTATACGAAAGCTGCTGTACAAATCCTTCAACGAAGCTTGCAGAATTGTGACCATCCATGTGAGGAAACCATCCAAGAAAATCATGTTGCCACCACGCAATCCTTGCGCGAGATCGATGGTGAGTGTATTGCTTCAACCCATCTGCCCAAGCTGACCAGACTTGCCAGACTGCCTCCCCAGACTGCCTAGGTCCCCGGACACCGCAACGGACACCCGTCTCGTTGCTCCAATCCTTGACGCCCTCCGCGGCGGTGCCTCCATCGCCCTTCACGGTCAATGGCTTTGCCAGCCCAGGCCGGGCAGGCTTCTAGGTTGGAGGCCATCGCTCTTATAGGTTGGAGGCCATTGCTATTAACTGTTCAGTTGAATTAGCTATATATTATATTATGTCTTCAGTCTCAGGCAGGGTCCCCAAAACCATCGCTCATCGGTGTGACACCACCGCATGGTCGGTCGCAGGCCTGGTGGCTGGCTGTGGGATTTTCAGCTTTACGCTGCGCAAGGTGCGGCCGCGCGTGACTCGGTGTCCGTCGTGTGATGATTCGTCGTGTGATCGGTGTGTGTGTGTGTGTGACCCGAAAGTGACTTGATGTGACATGACAACACTGGGATCTGAATTCTACGAATGTAGGATGGAAGTGGAAGTGGTGCGGAAGACGTTCGTGGATCTTTGGGACAACAAGTGACACCGCCAGCTTGCCGCCAGCTTGGCTGGTGGAGTTTGCTCACTTTTGGGGGTGGTTTTGAGAGTATTCTGAGAACAAAGGCAAAGCCGTGACCGACAAAACTCCTTGTTTTTTTAGAGTTTTGATGCCAAGCAACAGTTGTGAATCGAGTTGTGTTACTGTGATTTGGATTGCTTCCCATCAACAGTGACTGTGAGACCAAAAACGAGTGAAATAGATTCAACAATTCGGAAGCGAAAAGGATGGAGATTCAGCTGTTGATTGCCCCACCTTACCAGGAATGCCGTTTTTTCAATACGCTCGTCGTACACGTACGGAATATAATGAAATCTACGAAAAAGAGCTCAAAGAGCACCTACGACGTGTAACACTTCCCTTCCTTGTAGCAAGGACGCTATTAGCAGCTCCTGGCCTTACTACTAGGAGCGATCGGACGCTACCAGTAAGGGGGCTCGGCATTCGCGACCGAACCACGTTCGATGACGCGTCCGATGACGCTCTTACGTCGACGACCGAAGGCGGATGGCACCGACTTGGGTCTCAATGTGTCGCACAACATGGAGGTCGGGTCTGGGTGGGGAGGTCTGAGAGATCAGCAGCTGGCCCGCTACCAGTAATGGACCTAGGGCATCGCTACCAGTAACAAGTGCGTCGCTAGTAGCAAGAAGCTACTAGAAACTAGGGCCTAGGGCCAAAAATGTTTTTCCTGTTAGTAGTAATGCAGCAGGGATGCATTTCTTACTAGAAGCTACTAGTAACAAGTGTTTGCACCAAGGGCTAGGACCAAGTGGGTGAGGAAACGTCGGCGGTTCACCAGCCCTGCTGGTTCGGTGGCAACATAGATGGTCAAGAGGTCCTTTGCCGTTTTTTAGCCGCTCTGTCCCCACCTTATTTGTGACTGTGACCCTTCATTTGCCTGTGTCCCCTGCGGCTCCAGCCAAATGAGGCTGTGTACCAGGGACACTTGTACAAGGGTGGTCCTTCTTTTTTTCATGTTGTTTTCCCTGGTCTTGAACTCCCTGCCTGGCACTTCATCTTTTGGTAGAGATCGAAACACCCTCAGGAAAGAGAAACAGCACCAAAGTCACTCCAAGGGCCGGAACTTTGTGTAGAACTAGGCTGCCGAAGGACTTTGACATCACTATTGATATAGCTTGACCCACAAAAAGGGTCAAAAGGACTTTCGGTCACCCATGGGCACGGCATTGAGAACAGTTGAGATCTGGACCACCAATGTCCACAAGGAGCAAAGGACCCTCCAACGGGATAGAGACAGAAATAAGTCAGCCATTTCACCAACAACTTACTGATGTCGTTCCCCCTCGTGCCCCCTACTGGACGTTCTGAGTTTTGGTGAAACAGACTCTTTGAGGGCTCGAGATCTGTTACACAGTGACAGGGTCGTGACTCATGAGGCCGTGCAAACACCCGAGGCTCTTGGCCAGTCACCCGAGTCGTCTCACTGGAAAACCACACGCAGCGCCCGAGGATCGCTGCTTATGCGTGGAGAGCATCCGTGAGGGCGGCGCCATTGAAGCTTGGAATCGTCAGTGCGGCCTAGGCGGGAGATCCGCAATGGAGGAAGCAGGGCTTTTTTTTGCCGAATGCGTAGCGAAGAGTTCTCGTTTAATGTGGGGGCTGGGGGGTAGTCGCGATTTGGATGGAAGCATGACCTGGCAGATTCGTGTGAAATAGCGTGGAAACGTGTGGGTAACATGTTGAAGTGTGGAGGATGATTTGCTGCGCAGGTGCGGCCTTTTGTGAGATCCTCAGTTTCCTTCGCAATCAGATTGGGATTGCCGTTTAGAGGGCTGTGTTTTTGAGATGTTGGATGTGGCTGTGGCTAGGATTTGCATTTCAGGCTGTCGCGTCAAAGCTGTGTTTTCGTGACAAGTCTCAGCGGCGAGCTTGGTGGATGGGAGTGTGCTCAGAACGCATCCAAATCATTCCAAGCGCGTAGCCTGGTGCAAATTCTGCTGAAGACATGAACATGATTGACCATTTCATATCGTCACTTTTCGTGGCAGGCGCAGTCCTTTGTACGCGTTGGAGGTGTCGAAGTTGAGTTTTCGCGGCAGGCGCAGGGAATCGTGAAGTTGCGATGTTTGGTGGAGGTGAATGTCGCTGTGACATTGGGATTGGTGTGTCGGCGGCTGTGGCTTTTCAGATGCTTGGAATGTGAAACTGCGCAGGGCTGCAGACTGTGTTGTCTCTGATGTTTTGAAGAGACTCTGACCTGCGACCTTTGCAGTCTTGTACGAAGTGCTCGTTTTGCCGTGTGGCTTTTGGAAGTCTCTGACGAAGCGCTCGAGTTGGAGACTTGACAAATGTTTTTAATTGGAGGAGGGAAGAGTGACACACAAGAGTGTCCCACCAGAGTGTCCCACGAGAGAGTCCCACAAGAGTGTCCCGCAAGAGTGTCCCACAAGAGTGTCGCACGAGGGTGTTCCAAATGAGTGTTCTACAAGAGTGTCTCCTACAAGAGTGTCAAAAAATGTTTGGCCGTGTCTTTTCGAGTGCGTGTGTGCGTTCGGGTTCGTGGGTTCCATCTTGTTTTTTGTTTCGACCCCTTTTCGAAGCCGTTCGACTCATCGCCTGGACCAAAGACCAGCATCCGAGGGTACATCATGAGGATGTGAGTTCATGCTTCGATGTGCATTTTCACTTTAGATCACACCCAAGTCGAGGAGACTGCAAACAATGCATGCCAGGCACGAGTTCCCAAGCAGTCTCCCCAAAATCCGATGCCTCTCCTAGGGTCCTCAATCAAAAATGGGCGCAGGGAACGTGGTGCCAAAAAACATGAAAAAACGTAGCATCCTTGCTCCTAGCATATTATCCGGCACTTAAGGAGATTTGAGGAGCTTGAAGTTCCACTCCGATGCCCATCCATCGAGCACTACACACCTTTGAGGCACTTCTCATAGGAACTCGATCATGTAGCCAACAGTGTAGCTAACAGGTTCTTTAGTAGAAATTAGTAGAAAAATATTCCATGTTGTCGTGTGTTGTCCGAGTTCGGCTTTCACTTGACATGACCCATTTTCCCATCAATCAACGCAGCCGTGTGCCCCAAAGTCTTAGAGATTGGCTTGACAAGGTGGAGGTTTCATATTTAGATGACATGAATTAATGATATTTAATTTGTTCAGTGATACTGATACTTGATCTTTGGAAGAATCTCATGCCAGCAGTCACAAGAAGGGGTGCTATCCATGGAGGAAGTCGGGGTGCTCAGCTACTCCACTCACGTAAGGAGACGTTTCACACCACCCCGACATGTGACTGCTGGTGTGAGTTTCCTTCATGTCCTGGTTTCCTCCCACTTCCAGCACTTCATGCCGCCGAAAGCGGCGGCGTCAGGCACGCCCTTCGCTGAGAAGGCGGTCTTTCACGGTGCCCCTCGGACCGGATGACCAAAACGGAGCGTGGAAACCGATGGGACGGAGAGGCTTCAAAGAGAGCGCCATGGATTTTGGGGGGGACATGTCACAGTTTTTTTTTTCATGGATGTTTTTTTTCAGAATGTGTTTTTTCCAGTGGTTTCTTCTTGTTTTTTGGTCAGGCGTCGAGGTTTCAATCGTGGTTTGACCGGATGCTTGGAGCTAGAGCTACATGCGTGGCTTTGTTTTTGTCCACTCCAGATGCTTAAAAGCCCTTGGGTTCAGTTCCCCGTGGTCCGGGACTTTCAAGCAGATCGGCAGAAAGAGACCAAGCGAAGACGTTGTTCGTTGCACCCAGAGATGGCCGTGGGGACGGTGGCCACGTCTCACCGCACCGGGTCCTCGGGCCGACCAACGGGAAAAACCCGAGGAAGCGACCGACCTCGGAACGCATCACAGGCAAAAAACCGTGGCATGGCCAATGCATGGCCCCAAAAGGAAAACCCGTGTTGTCTTCTCTAAAAATCAGGGGTGGAAGTCCCCTTCCATTGTGAGTTCCGAGATTTTGATGTGGTTTGGACCCGAAACAGCTACTACAATGTAGCAGCTACATGTGGGGCTTGTCTCTCCACAACCCTAGGTTGTGAAGGTCAAAACGGAAGTGAGGGTCCAGACTCTGAGCCTTTGGGTGGAGTCCAACCTATTAGGGATGGCCTCCAACCTAGTCCAGGTTCTGTGGTGGATTCCTCCAACCTGGATGGTCTATCTTCGGAGAACACATCGGTGCTCTCTCCCACCTAGACCTACTCGGGCTTTTGGAGCGAAGTGGTCTGGACCTGGTCTTCTCGACTCTGTGGACTCCTTGACATCGAAGAATTGGACCTTTGTGTTTCGCTCCCAAAAGACTCCGCTCCAGAGATGGAGCCCAAAGGCCTCCATCACTGGAACATCACTTCATCCCAAAGCATCATCACTTCAATCATCAACCCTTCCTGTAATTCACCACAGCCTCAAGCGAAGGTGGTGCTAGCTCTCGCCTTCCATCATCTTCCATCCATTTTGCGCAGAGCCGCCACCACGCTCCGAGGATAAGATCATCAGTGTGAACCACGTGTGCTATGATCCCAACGCCATGCTACAGGACCCGGGCCACCACCACGCCACCAGACGAGCTGCTCGGGGTTAACTCAAAGGTTGACCTGCTAGAGGTCCCCATGGTGTGCGGTCTCCACCATCATTTTGCTGGCTCTTTGGCAGGACGCCCATGACTTGTCCAGAACGGGGAAACCATGGGACAAGCATGTGGGCTGTCAGTCTCCTGGGTCACTCTGAGTGCTGTGCGCTGGGCATACGCCACGCGTGTTGCCACGCGAGTTGCCACGAGCTTCCAGGAATGCCGGGACAAACAACTTTTGAAGCTGACCATTGCGCGTGGCAATGTGCCCCTCCCAGCCCCGCCTCAGGCATGTGTGTGGTGGGGGGGTGAGGAACCTCGATGGACCTCGCGAATGGAGGGATGGGGGACATCGATAGGGGACGGCACAAGATGTTTGGACCCGGACAACGAGAAGCAACGAGAAGGGCATCGCTACTAGAAACAAGGGCATTACTAGATGCCAAGAACCTGATTGACCCCTGTTTTGGAGCCAAAACATGGTCTTTTCCTATCAAAACAGAGGTCACATGGGTTCTAGATGGATCGAAGTGGGCAAGATATTTCACGAGATGTTTCTGTACCATTCTTAGAGTTGGTAAGTACCGCTGCGACGTTTCTGGTTGTTCGAAGTTCAGTGCCGGAGAGATGTCGCATGTGGGCCAAGTCTTAAGAATTCCCCGATAGATAATGGGGGAAGTTTGTATGTTTGGATGAAAGGGTAGCAGTTTTGGGAATTGCATCCAAGAGAATCATACAACAGGGGTACAAAATCCTCATGCATCTAGGACATCTGGTGTTTTTCAATTGGGGTGTCGGACGTGTCCTTTTTGATGGAAAGTGCGCAGCGAAATGGCCCCCGCAAAACAGATACTCTGAGACTCCACTCATAGATACAAAAAACCAACACATCGCTCGACATCGACGGTCACGTCACAAATCCCAAAAGCGTAACGAGTTTGCCGCCGCGCCAAACGCGCGTGGCGTGGCGTGGCCAAGCGACGACACGTGGCGAGTGTCGTGTCTCACGTGTCTCACGGTCCACGCGCTCCACGCCAGGAGCTTCGCGCTGAGGCGTCCGAGTTTGTGCGCCGGACGCGAACTCGGAGGGTCCAGCGGACGCGGAACACGGCCCGGCCGTTGGCTCCTGGCATCGCTACTAGGACCAGGAGCAAGGACGCTACTACGGGCTCCTGGCATCGCTACTAGTAACAAAAAAACTACTAGTAACAAGAAGCTACTAGTAGCAAGGTGCATCGCTACTAGGAACAAGTGCATCGCGACTTGTAGCAAGAAGCTACTAGTAACAAGAAGCTGGTTGGGCCGGAGCAAGGTCACTTCGTGGCGGGTCCACCCTTCGGGATTTGGTCGGAGGACAGCAGCCCCGGAGCCAGATCGGTACTGGTTCCAGACCCCCCCAAAAAAAGAACAATGTCGTAGTACCCTTTTTACTAGTCTAGTAGCTTCCTGTTCCTCGTAGTGCCAGGAGCACCCCGTTCGTAGCCTCTTGCTCCGTTCGTAGCAATGTATTCCAGCCGAATCTTTGGCTCAAGGCTGTGTAGAATCCACGAGAAGCGTCCAACTCTGTGAAGCAGAGAGAGGATCGGTCTCTTTGCGGTTCAGAACGATGGAATCCCAGCAGGATCCTCAGGTCGCAGAGCTTTCAGAGGAGGAAAAAAACTTTCTGGTTTGTGGCATTGCTTTGGCCCTTCTGGCACTTGGGGCAACCCTTCGCGCTATGAGGCAGGCCCACTGGTCGCACCTCTCGCTGGCCTTTTGGAAGTGCTATGAGCGGCTGAATCCTTTCAGAAACAAAGGAGACGAGGATTTGAGATGGAAGAGATATTTGCACCAAGAGGTTTGTGTGCAAAAGGTTATCTTGGCACGAATCTACGTGCGCTTCGCCACCTGCGTGCTGGTCTTTGGAACACTGGTCCGAGTCTATAGGATTTTGACGAGACAACCTGAGTGGATGAGCTCAGAGGGGACTTGGTTTGGGCTCATTGTGGGTTTGTTGTCCCTTTTGATGACCATAGCGCCACATTCCATCCAGCTGTGCACTTTGAATCTGACTTGCATCGTTTGGTCTTTGGTGTCAGGGTTTTTCCTGTCCTCATGGGCAATCCCAGTGGAAGAGCTGCTGGTGATGGAAGTCTTGATCTTTGTGACCATTGGCATTCCACTTTGTACTTTCGCCAAGCATTACATGGTGGTCCTCCTTTGTCAGGGAGGAATCATGGCACTTGTGCTCGCCCGCGCGGTGATGGAGGACCTTCAAAGCCGAACTCAGAGCCCTGGCCAAAAGTTTTCTTCCCCTTTTCCCGTTTCGTAAGGAGGGTCGAGATGTGTAGAGACCTCGATGTGATTTCGTTGGGGGGGTCATTTTCGAACTCAAGGATGTCAAATCAAAATCCAGTGGTGATCTTCAACGTGTTCTTCCTTGGCTATGCTTTGTTGGTGCATTTCCTCTCGAACTCCTTCCTGGAGCAGACGGTGGCACTCGGCGTCCGTGAAGCGGACAGCAAAACCCAACAAAATGCGACCTCCTCCCTGTTAGAGCTCACTTGCGATGCTGGGAAGATCAATGATTTGTTTTCTCATATATATATATATATATATCCGGTAGTATATGGTACCCCACATCACATCAGTGGTTGCTTATGATTACATGCATGTATATGCACATCATGTACTCTAGAAGGACAGATTCATCTGGATTAATCATACTTAATGTAAAAGACAAGTGTTTCCTCAGCCTTGTTTGGAAGCACAAATCAATCTGAATCTGTCAGGAGTCAAAATGCAAAACAAAAAGGGTACAATAAAAGGAAAAACAAAAAAAACTATGAATGGGCAACTAGTCCAGAGATCAGACTAGTTGTGGAATCATGTTTTTGTATTATGGTTAATCTTCGAGGTTTTGGTTTGATCCTGGAATAATCCTGATTAATAGCATTCTACTTCATAACTCCGGCATTTAGTTCCCGCCGGTTTGTTCCCAAATTGAGAGACTTGGGCATGGTTTAGTTCCATTTTAGTTTTCAATTGAATTCAAATTTAATGCTAGTGTCATTGTTTTTTAGATGTCGGTTTCCTTAAATTCTATTTCAATGTGTTTTCTAATTCAATTCGTTTGGAGTTCTAAGTTAAACCATTCTAATTCAATTCTAATAAAATCTAATTGAACTCTAATTCAGTTCTGATTTAATTCTGATTTATGTCTAAGGTCATTTATTTCTATAGCTGAAATAAAGTTCAAGTCTAACTCAATTCTAATTTAAATATGTGTTTTTCAATTTTAGCGTATGGTTTTTTGAACCAAAGTTTAATTGAAAATAACAAAATAAACGGTCAACGTCAATTCTCGGCTAAGTCTAATTTAATACTAAATTGAATCCAACTAAATATTAATTCAATGTTACTTTGTTTATCTAACTTAAATAGTGTAATACATAAATTTAAATAATGTAATTTAGATTTAACCTTTGTTTAATTCCAATTCAAGTCAGTTCTATTTTAAGTCTAATTTAATTCTAATTATTACTATGTTAAAGCTAATGCAGTTTTTTTTGTTTGAATTTGGTGAGCAGTGAGCAGGAATGAATGAGCCAACGTTTAATCTATTCTTGGCTGGTTGTATTTATTCCAATTCACTATGAATTAGTTATGTGTTTATTCCAATTTAGCTGTAATTAATGTCTAGTTTATTGTATATAAATGTAAACCGTATGCAATTCAAAATTCAAGCTGTCCAATTAAAACATGTCTATTCTAATTCCAATTCAATGCAAATGTCTTTCAAATTCAATGCAAATTGAATTCTAATGGAATTATAATTTCATTCTAGAGAGCGTGTGTTGCTGGGGGTGTGAACTTAAGAAACCAAACACTTATATATAGAAAATAGTATATAAGCTTTCATTGTAAAAGCAACACCCACTCTCTAGAAGTAAATTGGAATTGTAGGAAACTAAAGTTATATTGGAAAATACAATTGCATTAGAATCGATTCTGAATTGCATATATTGTTTATGACGATCGAAAATAAAAATGAATTAGGATTAGGTTTGCATTGAATCCCAATTGCATTAGACTTTATATTCAATATTATGAGAATCAAAGTAGAACTAGATCTTAACTGAAATAGAATTAAAGTAGAACTATGTTAAAGTTGAATTAAATAGATTTGAGTTGGAACTCAATTAGAATTGAGTTAGAATTTGGTCATTTAGGATTTGCAGTTCGTTGCCTTCTGACTCTGATGTACTTACTATGTTTTCTTAAGATTGCTATTGAACATTCCTTTGCATAAACTGTTGCTTCTGTCTTATATATTCATTTTGCAACATCTGGTAGTGATGTGCTAGACCCTTCAATGGGTTTACTGGCGCCATGGGTCTAGCTGAATCTTTTTGGCGCCTGATTCATTGTTGGTGTTTGCACCATGGAAACAATTCTCTTGGTGCACCTTCTTCTTCTTCTTCTTTAATGGGTTGAACTGTTGCTTTGGTGTAGCCTTTGCTTTTAGTTTTGCTGGTTTGCTTTCAATTGCTCCTATGCAAGTCATTTTCTGTTTATAATTGTAAGGGCTTCGCCCGGGTGCCGCCGACCCCCTTTCGGGAGGAGTGTAGCACGTGCAACTGAAGGCGTGCCGGTGGCGGCTCGACGGAAGAGAGGAGACGGAAGATGGGCGTGGACGGGGGTGAGGAGGAGAGGAGGGAGGGGTACGATGTGGGGCGAATGCCCGTCGGTGGACGGAAGATGGGCGTTCTACTCTCACGAACCCGAAGGTAGGGAATGCAAGTACTATGCACGGCCGTGGTGGGCTGGGGTGCTGCAGGGGCAGTGGAGGTGGCATGACTCGATGAATTTGGACGTGAGGGATTCCAATGGCCATCTGGCCAAAACAGGACAACGCACGCGGATCGGCGACCGTTTGTGAGGGCCTGGCCT